CTCTCTCTTAAAAAAAAAAAGAAAGGAGGTAGTGACCTCAGCCCCTCTGCTCACCTGGCCCTGGCTTTCATTCTGCAAAGATCCTGACTTTCAGCGGCATTAGCATCACCTCTGCCACACTCTGAGTCCCACTCAAGTGGCTTCCTAAGATCCTTGGGACCACCAACCTCATTCACTTTTTCTCCCACCTCTCTAATCAATCTCTCACAAAGTAAGTGACACTAGGGAGAGATGGTCATGGGAAGCTATAAGAAGGGTGCAGCCCATACTTCAGACCCTGATAGAAAATCCCAGACCTCTCTCCCAGGAGGAGAGAAGTGCTAGGGCAGGGAAGGTGGTCTCATCCTCTAGAATTGGTGTGGTGTATAATTACTGAGAGACATGGGAAATGTTCAGACCCAAGTCTGCAAGGAACAACGGGTCATCAATTTTGGGGGCCTCCCCAGGACTTGTTCCTTACAAGCAATCTCCTTACCCGCTCCCGTGCGCTCTCCCACAGGCAACAACGGGGATCTGTTAAGCACTTGCTGTACACACAAGGTCCCTGTAGACCTTAAAGCTGGGAGGATCTCACCCCATCTTGGTGTTTCCTCCAGCCACCCAGCACACACATAGTTCATCTTTGTGTCATAAACATGTCCCACCAACTCTAAAGCCCCAACCAGTGAAAGTTTTGTTTTGAACTAATGATAGGGAGGGTTGGGGTTTTTATTTTAATTGTTGTTGTTGGGTGTGTTTTTTAAGTCTTTTTTTTTTTCTATTCACTCTTTTTTTTTCCCCTTGTCTTCACAAAGACAGGCCATCAGGTCAAATATGGGCTTTTCCAGAAAGGTGAGTCGAGTTAAGAAAAGAGACCCTCCCCTTTTTTTGAGAGATTAGAAGGTGAAGGGAGGAAAAGGGGATGAAAGGGCAAAGGGGCAAAAGGGTAAAGGGGTGGGTCTTGGTCACTAGATTTGTATCATATGAATTAGAAGCTGTTTTCAATTTCTCTTCCCCAGGTCTGAAACCAGTCTTGCAGAAAAGTCGGAGTGGATGTTGGATGACTAGAACCCCAGACCACACAGGGCATGGTGGGGCTGGAAGTCTTAGCCATGGCCAGTCAAGAGAAACCTCTGGAGGATGATCTCCCATGTTGACCAGTGGTTGGAAGAAGGGAATGTGCACTGAGATGAGGAGACGCGGCCACTGAATCTTGGACAACCTAGAAACCTCACAAGCATCAAGCCCGCAGAAGAATCTCCAAATCCCAGAACCTCCCTTTCCTGGCATCCTAGAATTTAAAACCTGAGACTACTGGGATCACAGAAACTGCGAGTTTCAAAGTCTAGCACTAAGGAAACAGCTCTCTGATCTTCAGCAAATTGGTCTGCTACTCTTTGCCTTCATTTTCTCCATCTGTCTAACAGCGATACAGTAATGATAATAAGATGGACTGCAGAGGGCTCTGGTGAGGATCGGACACAACTGATTGTGAGAAATATTCAGTGCCGAGTATGGCGTGAGGAAATTCAGGATAAATGTCAGCCACCAGGATGATAGGTGATATTTGGAAATCTAAATCCTTGGAAACTGGGGCTTTTGCAAGTATAAAATCACAGAGTCTGAGCACATCAGAAGCATCAGCTATGGTGTTCATGACAGGAGAGTCCCAGTGTCCCAAGGAGCCTCTGGGTTTCATTGTGAGATTTAATTCATTCTACTAGGGGCCACTGGGGACCTTCCCGGTAGAGTGGCCACTGGATCAGACCTCTAAAGCTCTGGGACATAATGAAGTGAGACTTTTCTGCCTTCCCTAACTCAGTGGTTCCTTGTGAGATCAGGGAGTTAGTGATGCTCAGACTCCTCAATTCTGTGAATGGGTGGGGAGGTAGGGATGGACTTCCCACTTTTTTTTTTCATGAAATACCTAACATCCCCCTCACGCTCTGTGAGAAAGAGGGCTGCAGGGGTGTTCAAAGCTCCCTGTCTCTGGACAGCACAAATAATGGTAATCATATTAGTTATACCTAAGAGGAAAATGAATCCTGAAGCAAGGTGAAGCCTCTGGAAACAGGGTTCTGTTTTTTTCTCTTTCCCTAATGTTTTCTGTCCGCACATAAGACTTCACATTCCTTCTTAACCCAGACAGCCTCAGATATACTGTCCCACACAGAATAGTATCTCTGGTGCCTCAGGATGCCTCTGTGATTTGAATTCTTTTCTTTTATTTTTTTTTTTCTGACTCTATACACCTTGGCTTAAAAAACTGTGTTTTCTCATGAGCCCTGTTATCTCATTGATACCTCTCACCTCTGTGGTGAGGGGAAGAAATCATATATTCAGATGACTCGTAAAGGGCAAAGAAAAAACCCAAAATTTCAAAATTTCCGTTTAAGTCTCATAATCAAGAAGAGAAGAAGCAGAGCAGAGAGAGAGAGAGAGAGAGAGAGAGAGAGAGAGAGAGAGGAGAGAGAGAGAGAGAGAGAGAGGAGAGAGAGGAGAACTATGAGAACCCACCCCCCGTGATTATCAGCATATACACTCATCGAAATTGGATTATTAGAAGAGAGGTCTGTGGCTTCCACGCCGTGGTTTTTCTTCTCGGTATAAAAGCAAAGTTGTTTTTGATATGTGACAGTTTCCCACAAGCCAGGCTGATCCTTCTGTGTCAGTCCACTTCACCAAGGTGAGTGTCCCTGCTCTACCCCACCAAATGGGTGCCCTCATGGAGGAGGTGGCAGGTAGGTAGGCACTTGGGGGTCAGCGGCCTTCCAGTACAGTCAGATGTACTCAGCCACCATGAGCCCACTCAGGTAAGATCTTTTTAAAAATAATATAATAGTCATAATAAATACTAGGTAGGTGAAGTACTTAATCGATGCTTGGGCAGGGACAAAGATAAATAAATGGATCAATTGATACACAGATGGGTAGGATTTTTTAAATATGTCAACTGCCAGTCTTTATGGATTTCAGGGTTTTGAACAACTTGAAATGCTGTCCAAATGAAACTGGAAATCGCAGTTGCATCTCTCTTCATCTCTTCCGTCTTGATGCCTCCCATCCCTCTTGTCTCTTTGTTCACCCTGTCTTCCTTTTTCTGTTTCTCTACCTCTCTCTTTCGACATGACATCTCTCTGTCTCCCTTGAACTCAGGCGCTAGGCTTTGACCACCTCCCCGTCTCCATCTCCTCCATCTTGGCAACACTACATCATTGCCTTTCCTCTATCTCTTTCCTACCAGCGGCTCTCTTGTCTCACCTTTCCTCACCTGCCTTTCCACCTGGCATCTAGCACAGAGATTTGGATACAGCTGGTGGTTATTAATAGTGGGTCGAGTAATGTCGCTGAGGACATTTACATTTTTACAGGAATGCGCGTCAGTTCTGTTTGCCCTAGCAGCAGGAGGATTTTGAGTTGTCAGGAAAGGATGAGAATTGAACTTGAATGTGTGCTTACATCACATGAGAGGAGACCCTGTTGGGGGGCACTTCATGCTGTCATAAACCATGGTTTACTGTATAGTGTGCATGCATGTGACCAGACTCTGTGTCCAGGAAGGCAGGCTGTTCAGGACTGTGACAAGTTCATTTCTTCAGGCTTAGCACAATGCTTGGTACATAGTAAGCACTAAGTATTAGCTATTAGCATTTTAACCAAATTATCAGCATGCAATCAATATATTTTTTTTGTTCCTGCTTTATTCAAGTAATAGCACTTTTGCAGTCTGCTAAAAATAAATGTTTGAACACATGATTGTTCGTGGCTGTCATGACTGTTCTCACATCAGCATGATTCTGATTTGACAAAATGCCAATTGTTGGACACTCAGGACATTTCTAATTTTTCTTCATAAACCACCGTAATTGGTTCCTTGGACTCCTGAAAATGGAGTTTCCGTGGAAAAGAGATGTGCATTTTTAAGGTTTCTGACCCTCTCTGCAAATTGTTCTTCCAAAAGTTTGTCCTATTTCATGCTTCCTCTACTCAAGCTAATCCTGGGTGGGTATTATCATTTTTTAAATCATTTCCCACTGAGTGCAATGGCACATGCCTGTAATCTCAGCACTTGGGAGGCTGAGGCAGGAGAATCGAAAGTTTGAGGCCAACTTAGTGAGGCCCTGTCTCAAAATAAAAAATAAAGGGGCCTGGGGTAGTGGCTCAGTGGTAGAGTGCTTATATGAGGCACTGGGTTTGACAACATAAAGGCATTGTGTCCAACTACAACTGAAACAAAACAAAACAAAACAAAAAACTCCATGGATGTTGAGTTATTTTTTTAATAAATAAATAAATAATATAAAAAGGACGGGGGATATGACTCAGTAGGAAAGGGCCCCCGATTCAATCCCCAGTATCTCCTCCCTCAAAAAAATAATTTCCCAACTTAACAGGTAAGGAAAAAAACATTGCCATGTCGTTGAAATTTGCATTTGTTGATTATTTTTACTGTTTATCATTCACTTGTACTTTGGGGGTTGTCTATAATGTCCTTAGTCCTAATAGGGTATTCATCATTTTTCTTATTGATTTGCCATAGCTCTTTATTTTTGGAAAGGATATTAACTATCAATCATATGTATGCAGCACATATTTTCCCCCAATTCATCATTTGCATTTTCTATTTGTTTATGGGTTTTCTGTGATACTCATGATGTTTTTAAATAGTGAAATAGGTTAGTCTTCACTTGTGTGGTTTCTGTCTCTGGTTTTGTGCTTAGAAAGTTCTTTCCCACTTGAAAATGAGATAAATGTTCACCCTGTGTTGGCTTCTAGTCTCCTTTATGCCTTCATTTTTTCCATTTACTATAGAGGTTAAGAGTGTGGGTACAGGAGCCAGACTGTCTGGGACAAACCCAATCTCACCTCAAGCCATCGGTGTGATTTTCAGCCAGATACTTAACTACTCTATACCTCCATTTCCTCATATGTGCTATGATGAACATAATAGTACTTACCTCAAAGGGTCTTTGTCAAGATTAAATCTATTAATCATGGTAAGTGTTTAGCACAAGGCCTGACACACAATAAACCCAAGATCAATATTAGACATTAAAATGTATATCTGTAATGGATCTGGAATTTATTCTAGTGTATATGGTGATGGTGACATTTCAAACCCAACAGGGAAGGGTCAGTGGGAACACGGAATGATTATTTATTCAGTAGCTCTTTTCCCCCAATTGTTTCAGAAATATTTTTTTAATATTTATTTTTTAGTTTTCGGTGGACACAACATCTTTATTTTATTTTTATGTGGTGCCGAGGATGGAACCCAGTGCCCCGCACATGCCAGGCGAGCACACTACCGCTTGAGCCGCATCCCCAGCCCCTCTCAGAAATATTTGTTAATGTATCCTCCGCCCTCCCCCATGTTGAGATGCTGTATTCATCACAAACTCTATTCCCTCTATGCACAGGTCTTTGTCCAATCTTTCTCCTATGATCTGTTTCTCTGTATCTGTCCTTGTACCAGGGCCACACTGTTTAGCTGTACATTGCTTTGCAATATGATTCAATACCCAGCCATAGCCATGGGCATCCCTAGCACCTTGTTCTTCCTTATCCTTTCTTATTTCAGACAGCATCAGTCCTCCAACCAACTGTTCTTATTTGGGGCAATTCTCTCTTCCCTCTTTCTTTCTTTTCTCTCCCCCCCCCCGACCCCTGCCATTCTCCATCACTTTTTCTCTGTGACTCTCAGTGTCTCTCTGTGTGAACATCTCTGTTCTCTCTCACGTCTCTCTTCATATCTCCCTGTATCTGTACTCTGTGTCTCTGTTCCCTCATGTCTGTCTGTTTCTTTCTGCATTTGTATCTGTCTATCTTTCTCTGTCTCTTTGTCTTCATATACCTCTGTCTCTCAGCCAGTCCCCTGGATAGAGGGGCAGTTGTCAACTTAAATCCCTGTAGACACCTAACAAACAACTCAACCAGACACAGGAGAAGGTCTCAGGCCCTCTTCTGCCACACACCTCTCCCTTACCACGTGTAGAAGGGTAAACTGAGGCCAAAATACAGGCAGGAGAGCCCCTTTCTAAGCCTCATAGAGACACAATGGCAGAGAGGAGATACAAGATCAGAAATCAGGCCTCTCAGTGAGACCCTGACTCTGTTTCTATCCCCTACTATTGGCCTCAGTTTACCTTTCTGCACCATGAGGTGGAGAAAGTGGAATCTAGGTTGCCTTTCCCTTTTCCGCCTTCTCACAGTTTGGATCCTGACTTAAGCACAACAATCCATGATCATAATACAGGGTCTAGCCTAAGAAGAGCAGGGCTGTGAAGGGTCATGGGCCCCATGTCAGGAGGCTAAGGAAGAACATCAGTCAGTTTGGGTGTCCATAGAACTGGCACTGATTCTGGGAGCCTCTATCCTGGGGCTCCTCCAGAGAACCTGGCGCTGGGCTCCCTTCATGAGGCCCAAGCCAGAGACTGGATAGCTCCGTCCTCCTCATCCTTCCATCCCTATCTCTACCAGAGAGCTCTGAGTTTTGAGACATTGACCCAAAATGAACAGGGAGACTGAGGCCACAGAAGTGTCTATTTACCAATCATTGATATTTTGCTAAGTGTTTCATATGGAATTACTTTGGAAACTAGCTTCTATTCCTATACCAATTTATACTGAACTTGAGAAGCATTAGAGCCAGTCAGTGGCGAGATGGCCCCAGGCTCAGGAGAGGAAGATGGCTACTCTGACCTCTGCCTTCATGGACCTCAGGAGGGAAGCTGAGGGTACACTTGCTGCTATTCTAGGCCTAGTGGGTGAGAGGCCCTCTGAAATAGTATGCTTCCTGTCCTTCAGGCAATTCCAGTTGGTTTGCATGACAGGATCATTGGTTTATATACCAATGGATCTGTGAACCCATAGAGTTTGTGGTTTTTCTATCCTGGGCCTCTTTGAATCTAAAAAATGATGTCCTACAATTTGGAGATGTACTTGTGTGGACTCTATGAAAGACCCCAGGAATCCCAGTATTTGAGGGGCCACCCTAGCACTCAGAGCTTCCAACCTGGGACCTCACTGCGACCCAAGAAAGGCCAGGTCTCTAGAACCCAGGGCTTGTCATGGTGGCCAATGGACGTCACCCCACCACATCCGCCAGCACCCACATCACCCCACCTGGGTCGGCTGCAGGATGGGCCAGCCAGTTCTCGGAACGAAACCCGTGGGGTGAAGTCCTGCCCCCTTCTCTTCCTCCTTGGTGCGGATGAAGCCCAGCGCATCCGGCCGCCATGACGTCAATGGCAGAAAAATCTGGGGAAGTCGGGGGCTGTAAGAATAGGGCCCAGATGCAGACCCCGATAGGAAAACATAATCTGTGTTCCAGAAACATCCTCCATGCAGCTTCTGAGAAAACTAGTCAGAAAGGGACGCCCAAACAGACAGTGCAGGAAGCCGGCTGGCCAGCCCGGCCCTCCAAGTACCCCGCCACCAGACAGACCATATCCAGGTCCCCTTTCTGAGAATATATTTAGACTTTCCTGAGTCAGACCACTCGAGATATACTGGGGGAGGAGATTTCCTATAAGCTCTGGCCAAGTGTCCAGGTAGCTTCAGAAGTGCCAATGGGCCAGCCATGTGGGCCAGGCCACAGTGGTGGAAAATATCCAGTCACTCACCAAAATCAGTATTCGTTTGTTCAGGCTGCTGTAACAAAATATCACAGACAGTGTGGCTTAAGCAACAGAAATTCATTGTCTCATAGTTCTGGAAGCTAGAGATCCAAGATGAAGGCGTCGGCAGGGTTAGTTCCTTATGAAGGCTATGAGAGAATATGCCCCAGGCCTCCCTCAGCTTCTGGTGGGTTGTTGGCAATCTTTGCTCCTCCTTGGCTTCTGGAAGCATCACTTAATCCCTGCCTTCATTGGTTCACTCACTCATTCACTCACCTCCTCATCTCTCCACCTTTCTCCCAGATCCTTGGTCTGAGCTTCCACGGAAACTGGACTTCGGATTCTCATACTAATATTCAAACCCTGGAGAGACTAGGAGTTTAATACTCAGACTCTCATGCCAATCTCCCTCAGCACTACAGCTCTGACAGCCCCCATGAGGTGACAGTAAAGAAAGGAAGGACAACTGCCCCTCCCAGAAATCTCCTAGACTCTTCTTAGCAGCTGTGTGCCCAACCCAGTGCTGTGTAGCAGGACAGGGAGTCTCTCACACATAGGCACAGTACAGGGGGCTTGTGAAAATGTGCACACAGGCACACATGCTTCTGGGAGAAAGAAATGGAGTTCTCAAGTCACCATGGGACCATGGAACTCTGTATTTGGGTGTCCCTTTCAGTAAAATGGGGGTTGGACCAGGCAGTCCCTACTAGTTCTGGCTTCCTTGCTGACTGGGATTATGGGATTCTGAGAAACTGAGGCCATGAACTTTGGGGAGTGTTAATGCTAGGGGTCAGTAGGGGGACTTGGAATCATTACAGAAGTCTTTCAAGTAGAAAAGCAAGAATTTTGTGGCTTAGATAGGGAAAGAAGAAGAGTGGCAAATAGTATGAGCCAGGGCCTGGAGGTAGCCTTTGGGGAGTAGGAATTGGGGTGACTACTAATGGGGGCTGGGTTGAGGAGTTCACACAGGCTCTAGCTCAAGAAAGCATGTCCCTGGTTCTCTCTGGCATCTGCCATGCCACCTCCGTGCAGGACAAGAGCTCAGAAGCAGACTCTATCCTGTCCCTGAGCACCACACTCCTATACCCAGCTGCCCATCTGGCACGTCCATCCATGCGTTCATTGCCAGACTCTTCATATCCATCCACACTTGATTATCATCCCTGACCCTGTTTGCCACATGTCCCTGATAATGTCAGCTCTGTTCGTCTAGCTTCTCAGGCTAAAACCCAGAAATCATCTTGACCCTCCCTCTCTCACCCACTATGTCCAAGTTGCCAGCAATTTCTCCTGACTCCACCTTGAAAATAATCTCAGAATCCAGCCACTTCTAACCATCTCCCCTGTCACCATCCCAGTCAGTGCCAACATGATCACCTGCCTTGACTGTTGCAGTAGTCTCCAAACTAGTCCCCCACAGAGTAGCCAGATGAATCTTTAAGTCCATACCCATCACTGGAGTAAATCAATGCCAATTATAGTCTGTGACAAGTTCCAGCAGAAACAGCAAAGACTGTGCCCTATGCAGGGTGCAGGGGTTACCAGGGATGAGATTTGAAGACTCGAGTGGTAGGAGGATGGGCTGAGACCTACCCTAGCTAATGTCTCACAAACCAACTGCCCGTTGCCCTCGTGGGGGAAACTCCCACAGCAGGGTAGTACAGGCATGTGCTGGCAAGCTGGCCGATGGACCTGTGCATATGGGGTATGTGGGCACACATGCCTATTCCTGATAACCATATGTGTGTGTGTGTGTGTGTGTGTGTGTGTGTGCACGTGTGCACGCGCACACGCATGACTAGAGCTGGGGTACGGCTTTGGGTCCCTTTATGACATATCCCCAGCCAATACCTGTTCTGACCAGTAGGGGTGTCCATGTGGTTCAGAGGATCTCACACCAAACCTAGCACACGTGTGACTCCTTCCCACTATGTCCCTGCAGACTGCCCTTGGACAAGGACCCAATGCCCAACCCCAGGCCAGCCAAGCCCTCTGCCCCTTCCTTGGCCCTTGGCCCATCCCCTGGAGCCTCGCCCAGCTGGAGGGCTGCACCCAAGACCTCAGACCTCCTGGGGACCAGGATCCCAGGAGGAACCTTCCAGGGTCGGGAACTCCGAAGTGGGATCCATGCCTCTTCCTCCTCCTCCTTGAACCCCCTGCCAACATCGCAGCTGCAGGTGAGGCCCAGGGCCCAGGATGGGGCAGGCAGGGTGGGGTACCTGGGCCTACAGGTGCCGACCTTTACTGTGGCACTGAGCAGGAGGGGTGCAGGCTGGGGCACAGGAAGTGGTTTCTGGGTCCCAGGCAAGTCTGTGACTTATGCAGATATTGCAGAGTCAAGAAAGTCCCCACCTGCCAGGCCTTAGAGATTTGAGGCTCTCCCCAACCTCCCAATCCCTGTTTCAGGAGAGGAAGAGATTCTATAATGATCCATGGGCACAACTATGTGTCCTTATCCCCATGTGACAACAGGAGATAGCTTGGGCCCAAGGAGGTGAGATAATAGGGTTGAGGCCAGCTCTGCCACTTATTAGCTATATGATCTGAAAAAAAAAAATCACTTAGTCTCCATGAGCCTCAGTTTCCAAGTGTGGAGATAATCGTGGTACCTACGGTGGGGGACTACGGAGAGGAGCATATGAATTAGCAAGGATGAGGGTGGTACCTCACACGCCTGCCTTCTCCCTCCAGCTGCCCACAGTGCCCCTAGTCATGGTGGCACCCTCCGGGGCAAGGTTGGGCCCCTCGCCCCACTTGCAGGCACTTCTCCAGGACAGGCCACATTTTATGCACCAGGTATGGACCCTAAATAGACTGGGAAGAGGGAGCCAGTGGGAGAATTTGGGGGAGGAAACCCTGAGCCATGGCCCATATATGTCCCCCAGCTCTCCACAGTAGATGCCCACGCCCGGACCCCTGTGCTACAAGTGCGCCCACTGGAAAGCCCAGCCATGATCAGCCTTCCACCACCCACCACCACCACCGGGGTCTTCTCTCTCAAGGCCCGGCCCGGCCTGCCACCTGGTAATACCTTAGCCTGTACCCCATAACTTTAGAGAAGCTGAGAGTCCCCAAATCCTTGAACATGTGCAATACTGACTGTTCTGAATCAAGGCCCTGTGGGGGTCTGAGGGCTCAGGTCTTAGTGACATAGAAACTCTAATCTCCAAAAAATGTCACATTAAGAACCTTCAAGATGCAGAATGTCAACATCACGGAACCACAGATCTTTGCAAAGTTAGTCAAAATGTCAGCACCTGCTGATGGCTGTCTTTGAGCTATTCTGTCAGAAGCCCTGAACTGTGGGGATGGCAGAGTCCTTTGGGAGTCAGGGTCTTTGAAGCACAGGAGGGTGTGAGGTCTTGTGGGCCAAGCTGCAGAGCCTGGTCCCCAGCCCCAGAGGTGCCCTGTCCCTACCCATAACAAGTATGTGCCCTGTTCCTATCCACAGGGATCAATGTGGCCAACCTGGAGTGGGTGTCCAGAGAGCCAGCACTGCTCTGCACCTTCCCAAGCCCTGGCACACCCAGGAAGGACAGGTGAGTGTGCAGGGCTGGGGAGGACCCTTCACCTTATTGTTCCCCTCCCCTGACACCCTCTTGTCCCCTCAGCACCCTTTTAGCTACACCCCAGAGTTCCTACCCACTACTGGCAAATGGTGTCTGCAAGTGGCCTGGATGTGAGAAGGTCTTCAAGGAGCCAGAAGATTTCCTCAAGTGAGTGACCTGGTTAGTGGGTATAGGTCTAAGATGCAGATCTCCACTCAGGCTTCCTCTCAATAAAAGTAAGATGAAACAGGTAAAAGCTGAGAGTGTGGATTCAAATCCAGCCTTTGATGCTTAACAGCTGTACAAACTTGAACAAGCCATTAACTTCCCTGGGCCTTAGTTCCTTCATATGTATAACGGGGCATGATAATAAAGATGCATACTGATATTTACCTCTGTCTTACAGACAAGGGAGCTGAGGTCAAAGAGGGTGTGTCTTGATCAGGATTACCCATTTCCCTCGTGACAGAGCTTGGATGTGAACTCAGGCAGCCAGACTCCAGAATCCAAATTACTAACATTTTTGCCCTATTAGGCCTCATGCCAACAGATCACATTATTGATTCCCAAAGTCCCAGGTCCTATAGATGGCTGTTGCTGCCTTCCCTTGGGCCTGTCTCAAAACACACACACACACACACACACACACACACACACACCCTCCTCTACTTCTGTAACATACGATGGAGGGCTTGAGGGAGGGGATGGCAGCTGAAGCTCTAAGGAAAGACCTCCCAGAGGGAGTGGCCATCCCCAACTGAAACATTGAGCTAGGAGGCCAGGCGCACCATGGTCACCTGCATGAATTCTTTCCCCTACCCAGGCACTGCCAGGCAGACCACCTCTTGGATGAGAAGGGAAGGGCACAGTGTCTCCTCCAGAGAGAGGTGGTGCAGTCTTTGGAGCAGCAGGTAATGCCTTCAGGAGGAAGGTGGGTGGTGGGTGGGTGAGCCTCATGCCCATACTGTGCCAGCAACCAGGATAATCCAGGATGAGTGTTGTGTAAGGGAAAGGAGGGAGGGGACTCCAGGGAGGAACACACCTGGAAAGGTATGGTGGAGAAAGGCCAAATGGAAGCCCCATTTTTTGTGCCCATCCCCACAGCTGGTGTTGGAGAAGGAGAAACTGGGCGCTATGCAGGCCCACCTGGCCGGGAAAATGGCACTGACCAAGGCTCCAGCTACGGTAAGCTACCCCCGACCTGAAGGCAGCAGAACTAGAGAGCTGGGGGACAACTGAAGGGTGCATGGGAACCTGTCCTCACACACAGCCTCTGGAGTCTATGAGTACCTGCATATGTGCCACACGTGAGAATCTGTCCTCTTCCACTTGCAAACCCTTTGACCTTACCCATCCTGATTTTGAATTTCCAAAGCAATAACAGGGGCTGGGGGTGGGGCTGAGGCTCAGTGGTAAAGCACCTGCCTAGCATTCAGGAGGCCCTGGGTTCCATTCGCAGCACTGCAAAAAATTAAATTATGCCAAGGAGGTTGAGGCAGGAAGATCACAAGTTTAAGGTCAGCCTGGGTAATTTAGCAAGAAGACCTCGTATCAAAACAAAAAGGGCTGGAGATGTAGAGTACCCATGAATCCAATCCCCAGCACAACAAAAATATTTTTTAAAGCAATAGGGCCAGGTTGTGTGGCATGCTTGTAATCACAGCTAGTCAGAAGCTTGAGGCAGGAGGATCACAAGTTCAAGGCCAGCCTCAGCAATTTAGCAAAACTGTTTCAAAATGAAAGATAAAAAGGGATAAGGAAGCTGGGCGGGTGTAGTGGCACATGCCTGTAATCTCAGCGGCTCAGGAGGCTGAGGCAGAAGGATCATGACCTCAAAGCCAGCCTCAGCAACTTAGCAAGGTGTTAAGCAACTCAATGATATCCTGTCTCTAAATAAAATACAATAAAGGGGTGGGATGTGGCTCATTGGTGAAATGCCCTGGAGTTCAATCTTTGGTACAAAAAAAAAAGATAAGGATGTAGCTCAGTGATTAAGCACCCCATACTTAATGAAGTTAGACCATGTGATCCCTAAAGCACTGACTATATAACTTGGAGGGCCCAGTGCAAAATGAAAATGCAGGACCCATGTTCAAATTTCAAGATGGCAACCTCAGTGCATTCAAGTGTGGTGGTGCATGCCTATAATCCCAGCACTTGGGATGCTAGGCAGGAAAATCAAGAGTTCAAAGGCAGCCTCAGTGATTTAGTGAGGCCCTATGCAATTTAGTGAAACTCTGTCTCTAAATAAAAAAATAAAGTGATGAGGATGTGGCTCAATGGTTAACTGCCCCTGGGTTCAATCCCTGGTACAAAAGAAAAAACAAAAAGGTGTGGGGTTCTGTGTGACTGCAGCACAGGTCACACTCACAAAACCAGTCCTGAGTGCCAGGCACTGTTTCAGAGCACTTTGCTAGTGTTTATTCAAGCCTCAGGATGCCACTGTAAAGTAACTACCACTATCATCCCCAATTCACAGATGAGGACAAATTGAGGCCAGAAAGGTTTAGTTAACTCTCCCAAAGTCATAGTTGGGCACTAGAGAAGCCCTATCAGCACCACCTCATGATCCCAGCATCTGTGACTACACACCATTCACACACCAGTATGGCTCATGCTGTTCCATGGGATTCCATGTCAGACTAGAATTAAGAGGATGCCCTTAAAACACTGATTTAGCCAGGCATGGTGACATATGCCTATAGTCTCAGCTACTTAGGAGGTTAAGAGGACCACTTAAATCCAGGAATTCAAGGTCACCCTTAGCAGCATACCCACACCCTATCTCTTAAAACAAAAAATAAAAACACTGATTTAAATATAAGAGTGGAGCCCGGTGTGGTGGCGCATGCCTTTAATCCCAAGGGCTCAGGAGGCTGAGGCAGGAGGATTGCAAGTTCAAAGCCAGCTTCAGCAACTTTGTGAAGCTTTAAGCAACTCAGTCCCTGTCTGTAAATAAAATACAAAAAGAGAGGGGCTAGGATGTGGCTCAGTGTTTAAGCACCCGAGTTCAATCTCCAGTGCCAAAAAAAGAGAGAGTGGAAAATTTAAACCCCTGCATCACCAGCCCCTCTTGCCTCCCCCAGGCATCATCTGACAAGGGCTCCTGCTGCATGGTAGCCACTAGCACCCAAGGAAGTGTTCCAGCCTGGCCCAGCCCTCGGGAGGCATCTGACAGCCTGTTTGCAGTGCGGAGGCACCTCTGGGGCAGCCATGGAAACAGCACATTCCCAGGTAAGAGTGGTCTGTGCCCTACCCACTGACCTACACTCCTAATCCTACCTGGTGCCAGGCAGGGGTGCAAAGGATCTCCACATTACCACCACCCAGCTTTTGAAAATGCACATGCTTGTAAAAGCTTCCTCTCAGGATTTTTATGGCCTGAAAGTTCCCCATCATGGTCACAAATGACCAAAGAGCAAGGGACAATTTATATCAAATACTCTGTAAGTGGTACCAATGTGTGACCACGGCCCTTCCCCCTTGGGTTGATGATGGGATTTCAGGCATGTGTGGAGGAGGGCGGGACAAGGAGGGAGGAGGTCTTGAATGGGGCCTGATCTGTCCCCACCCTCTGCCAGAGTTCTTCCACAACATGGACTACTTCAAGTTCCACAACATGCGGCCCCCTTTCACCTATGCCACCCTCATCCGCTGGGTAAGCTGGACAGCTCAAGCCCAGAGGGGAGGAAGATGATGGGGGACTACCAAACTCCCACCTTCCTCTCAACAACTTCAGAGTTCATGCTTCTCCAGTAAGAAACCCCAGCCCCAAGGAGCCCCAGCCATGCCTCCAATGTGATCCCTCCTGCTGGCTGTACCCCAATCCTGTCCCTGAACCCAAACCTAAACTGCCAGTCAGGCCAGTGTAAATCAAACTATGAACCCAAAACCCACCCCTCTCCAGATGTCCATGCCATTTCTGATGCCACCTTGATCCCATGCTTCACCCTATGTCTAACCCTGCCCCTGATCTTTCACCCTGTATGATCTCTCTCCCTCCCCTCCCTTGCCCCACAATCCAACCCCCAGACCATAAGGCCCAAGGCAGGCCACTGCCCTTCTCAGGCCCAACTTTGGGGGAATGATCCCCTTACCCCACTCTATTCCAACTTCCAGGCCATCCTGGAAGCTCCTGAGAAGCAGCGGACACTCAATGAGATCTACCACTGGTTCACACGCATGTTTGCCTTCTTCAGAAACCACCCTGCCACCTGGAAGGTGAGTGCCTCTTGGAGGTGGTGGTGGCTGGGATGGACACAGTGCCACATAGTGTAGGAACGAGCTAACTGGGGGCTGGGTTCAGAGGCATATGAGAAAGGAGCAGGTCAGTACTGATGGGGCATGCTGACCTCAGGCCACTGACCTGCCCCATCTCTGGCTGATCCTCCTTCCACAGAATGCCATCCGCCACAACCTGAGCCTGCACAAGTGCTTTGTTCGAGTGGAGAGTGAGAAGGGGGCTGTGTGGACTGTGGATGAGTTTGAGTTCCGCAAGAAAAGGAGCCAGCGGCCCAGCAGGTGCTCCTACCCTACCCACAGCCCCTGACCTCAAAACCAAGAAGAGGAAGGATGGACAGGAGCCAAAATGGGGGGCAGAGGTGCCCAGGGCAGGGGTGGCAGACCTTGGACATGCCCACAGAGACCAAAAAGTGAGATGTCTACTGTCTTGCCTGCCAGGGCCCCTGCTCCCCAGCTGGCTGCCATCCCAGATCATTTCTTCTGCACCAAGGCTGCTGGGAGGGGCCCCAAGACCAGCCCAGCTCCCACTCCCATTCAAATCCCCCAGTCAAGTTCTCCAGCCAATCAGAGGCCTCCCAACTAGCCATACATACAGCCTGTCTCAGCCACTCTCACCTCAGGGGTGGGAGAAAGTCACACAGACACAGTCACTATCCTGTCCCCCCGTATTCAACATAAACCCTAAATCACAAATCCCGCCTTAGTACATTCAAACATCCTCAAAGCTGCATAGTTACACATCACACATGAGTGCAGCCCTGTCAACCTGAAAGCACATACCCACTGCCAGTCTCTGGGCCCCCAAGTTCAGGGTCACACAAGGGTGTTCCCAGAGCCCCGCACAGAAGTAGCGATCAGTACCCTCAGGATAGCAGGTTCCAGAATGTCACACACACACACACACACAACTGGTCATACACAGGCTTATGCAGCGCCTAACACATGTGCTCACTCACACAAAGTCTGTTGGATTTGCCCGCGTATCTCACATGTGTGCTCACTCAGCCCCCCCCCCACCTCCGGTATCTCCCAAGTCCCATGAAGACACACAACAACTGACAAAAATGTACCCCATGTCTCACTTGCCACCCACCCCACTCCCATGGCCGAGCCCGATCCATGCCTCAGCCTAGACTGCAGAAGAGCCCCTCCTTTATTTGGGATCCAAGACCCCCAACCTCCAGTGCCCTCCCCAATAAACTGCAGCCAAGCTCCCACATGCTGGATGATCACCCCAGATCAGAGCTGGGGTCAAGTGAGCAAGTGTCTGAGACTAAGACCACAGCAGGAGGAACCGGTGGCAAATGGAGGGAGTAGCTAGGGCAGCAGCACTTGGCTACCACCTCCAGCACCCCACATCCCTGCTGTGGTTGGGGAGCCCTCCACAGGAGTTCCTCAGGCCTCCCGCACCCGGCCCAAGAGGCCAGCATTCTCCTGGCGAAGGGCTCGGTAGTCCTCACAGATCTTCTCCAAGTTGCTGTGGGTCTTCTTACCCATCTCCGTCTCAATCTAAAGGAAAGTGAACACACTTGCTCAGCACATAGATCCCCTTTCTTCCACAGCTCCTCCTCACCACCCCCTCCACTGCAGCTGCCCTGAACCCCTCCCACCCCCTGTCCCACTGCCAGGCCTCTGCACGTGTCATTCCCTCCACCTAAAGTATCCTTAAGCCAAAGCCTCTGCTAGCAGCCCTGGGAAGCAAGTTTGAGGACCGCAGGGTAGAAGCTAAGGCTCAGAGAAGGCCACCACTCTGTTCCAGGCTTAGGTACCAAGTGACAAGGCTGAGCTTCAGTTATAGGCTGTCTGGTCCCACAGCCTCTCTCTGTATAAGTCAAGGAGCTGTCCCCTGACCTGTTTCAGTTCCCCTCCCATATCCAGGCCTCTCACCTGCTCCTCAAGGTCTCTAACCTCCCGCATGATAGTGCCCGTGTCCTCGATGGTCTGGATGAGTTGGCTACAGTTCTAGGGATGGCAGGAATACGAGGCTTGCACCCAAGTCAGTCCCTCCCCAACCAGCCCCGCAAGCATGCTGCTCTCCTCACCTCATGCAGCGCAGCTAGATACTTGTAGGCCTTCCGAACAGCATCATCTTTCTTGGCATCCTGACCAGGCAGAGGGGACCTTGAAAAAATCAGCTATCCACTGTCCCCTACCACCTCCATGCCACCACCCCGCTGCCTTCATCCTTCATGAAGCAAGTTCTGAGCATTATTATGCCTACAGGGCTCAATGAGGGCCTGGGGCAAGCTGGCCCATGAGCAGATGGGCCGGCAGCAGGCTAAACCCCACGCCAAACCTCATGCCAGGCCCAGCCTGCCCCACACCTTGAATACGAGCTCATCAGTCACTGCAAATGTCCGGTCCAGCTTCCCAGAGAGGGAGTTGATTTCCTTCTGAAGCTCCTTCGTGTCAGACAGGATCTGGCAGATACCAGGTTGGCCATGAGCTCAGGGCAGGGTGTCTAGGGCAGGGTGGCTGGCCAGCCGAGGGTATTCATGTGCATGCACTCACATCAATTTTGGGCCTGTGTCACTACATCAGGGAGGTTGGAGTGGACTATTCTGTGCTGGGGTGTGCTAGACAGCTCTGCCTATCAGAAGCCATGAGGTTCCCATGTGGCCACCCTACTTCTGTCTGCCTACATGACCCACCCAGCCAGGCGTGGTGGCACAAGCCTGTAATCCTAGCATCTTGGGAGGCTGAGACAGGAGGATCACAAATTTGAGGCCAGCCTTAGAAAGTTAACGAGGCCCTAAGCAACCTAGTGAAACCTTGTCTCAAAATGAAAAAAATAAAAAGGGCTAGGGATGTGATTTAGTGGTTAAGCAAGCACCCCTGGGTTCAATCTCTGGTATATATTTTATATATATATATATATATGACCCACCCGCCAGGGCCACTGCAATGTACCTTAGTGATCTCTTCCTTCTGCTTCCGGATATTGCCAACAATCTCCAGGATGCGCTGGGTATAGGCCAGCCGGGACACGTCTCTCGGTAAAGTCTCCAGTTCTGACACCTAGGTAGGGACACAGCAGGTATTTCCCAAGGACCCACACCCCACCCATCTTTGCCACTAGGGCCCCTTCATGGGCCTTACCAGCTGCTTATAGACTTCCTCCTTCCTGCGGGCCTCTTCAGCAGCTGCCTGAACACTCTGGTGCAGTTCCTGGATTTCTGCCATCCGTCGAGAAGATTCCAGCTACCAGGGACCCACAGGCAGAGGCAGTGAGCAGAGCTCAGAGGCAGCCTCCTAGAGGGGCACCAGACTTGCCCCATGGCCCCAGACCCCACCACCTACCTCCCTGCAATCCTGGAGCTTTCGAAGGTGACGGTACTCAGCAAGAAGTGGAACCCGGTGCTTTTCCCACTGACCCGCCAAATGGATGACCCGCTGCGCACTGCTCTCCACCACAAGCTAAGGGTGGAGACATGTCAAACAGGCTGGGCCTATCCAACCCTGCCCCACCAGCCCAACCCCAGACTCAGCCCCAGCCCACCTGCAGTTTGGCGAGATTGGCAGCCCCGTCTGGTAGAAGCTCCACTGCCCGGCTCTTCAGGCGCAGGGCCTGCTCACGCTCTGCCATGCTGAGCTTACTCTGCCGACACTCTGTCTCCACCTGGCACCACATCAGCCCCACCCCCAGTCGCACATCACATTCCCCAATGACCCCAAGAAACCCTGGCCTAGCCTGAGGCCCTCACAGGCCTCTCTGATCCTCCAGATCCACACTGATGCCCAGGAGCCTTGCCCACACAGACCCATCTTGCCCCGCCAATGCTCACAGACCCTCAACACCACCTACAAGGCCTGACTGATGCCCATAGGTGCCTCTAACCCCAATAGGTCCACGAAGCACCCAAACCCACATCCCCTTTTGCTCCCACCAACTCAAGAGCCCCAGAGATTCCCAATATCCTCCATGAACCCTTCTAACATCTGCAGACCTCAAGAGACCACCTCCAGGTCCCCTCAAGGCCCTACTTCTGGCCTGACCCAGCCCATGGCCCTTGCCACAGCCCCTCACCTGCACAAGGCTGATTCCTAGAGTCTTCATGTTGGCTTCCACTTCTTCAATGTTGCGGTTCATGCCCTCCAGCTGCTCCCGAAGGGACTCTAGCTCCTGTTCTTGAGTTGCCCGTGTGTCCTGGGAGGCACAGGCCAGTCAGGTGGAAATGCCAGACCCAGCAGACAGTAAAGGGATCAGGAAGCCCCCACAAACACACGGACTGCTCTGCTCACCTGTTCAGGCTGACTGGAGGTAGTTGGCACATCTGATACTGGGGCAGCCTGGGCCTGGTGCTCCTAGGAGGCATGAGGAGGGACAACCTGGATATCAGGGAAGGCCCTGCCTCTTATGGCCTGGCCTCAACACCCCAAAGCTCCTCCTAGTGCTGTACTGACATCCGTTCAACTACTAACAACTGTCAGAATGTGACTAAACAAGGGAAAGGGCAACTAAAGTGTCTGCTCTCAGAGAAACCTCCCTGGTCCAGATGTAGCAGCCCTAAATGCCCATGAGAAGGACGAGGGTCCCTCTGGGTGAGCATCCAAGGAGAGAAGATATATCCAGAGGAAAATGACTGGGGAAAGATGGGGTTTGTACCAAAAGCACCCCTCTACACTTACATGGTTCCCACCTGTATGCTCTTTCTCCAATGATGTCCCAAGAAGCTAGGGAAGCCCTCTGAACACCTTCCCTGAGGAGGGAAAGGGCCTACCTTGTGGGTATATGGGACCTCATGTGAATAAAACTGCATTTATATATAAAGCAGCCCTCACCAGATCAGCACCCCCACATCCACTCAGGCCCACCCACCAGATGAAAGGTGAACTTCTCTGAATGTGTGAAGCGGGATCCCTTGGGGGCGCCAGTCCTGGCCCCAGCACCCCAGCCCTGAAGCAGCTCCCCCAGGTCTCGGGCTTGTGTGGGCGCTGCAAGTGGGCTCCAGGTCTGGCGCAGGTGCTCAGCCAACTGTCTGTGGAGCCGCTGCCGTGGAGCCCGGGTGTCCTCCTGGAGAGAGCAGGCAAGGGAACAGGAGGATTGAAGCCTACTGGCCCCCAAGGCCCTGCCTCCTCCAGAGACCACCTGATAAGTCACACCCTTCTTCCAGCCTTTCCACCAAGTCAAGTCCCTTCCTCCACAGGCTTGTGAGCTCCCTGAAGACTGGGAGGGACCTCTTCCCCACAGCCACACTTCTCTCTACCTACTTGCTCCCCACCCTGGAAAAGATGTGGGTAGAGAGAGAAGCCCCTAATCAGAGAGACCCACAGAAAGGGATGTGTGGGACAGAACAGAGACAGAAAATCAAAGAAGCAAGGCAACTAACTCTGTTAGAGAGAGACAGAGTTAGAGAGAGGAGAGATAAGGCAAGAAAGAGACAAGAACATAGTTTCAAGACAACCGGGGAAATTTGATTTGAAAAGCACTGGGCTATACCTGGGGTGGGACACGAGATGCCCGGCGTACCCAGTCTTCATCACCAGGGCGATTCCGGCCTACATGCTGACAGAGTTGGATGGCATGGTGTTCAAGGAGTGAGGCCGCCCTCCCCGAAGGCCAGGGCACCTGTGCAGGGACTGGCAGCAGAAGGGGACTCGTCTGGAACTCCCGTGTCTCTGGAGACAGGAACAGAGTCAGCCGGCCCTCCTGCGTAAAGACATACCTCTGCTCTGCTCCCCAACCTTCCCCAAAGCCTTAGCCTTACCTCCTCTGGAACTCAACTCAGGCATGACCAGCGTGCTGGCATGGAAAGGATGCTGGAGGGCTGAGCCCTGGAGGGAGAGCAGAGTCAGAGTCTCTAGGACAAAGTGGGACAGGGTTCACTGGTGAAGGGGCCAACAACCTGGGCAACCAGATGGGGATAAGAAAGGTAAGGTGGGGACAAGCACAGACAGGAGTCAGGGATCCCACCTGGAGGTTCTGTAGCTTGGGTGTTCGAAGGAGAGGTGGGACCCAGGGCAGGGCCAGCTGGTCCCGGATTTGGCTCCCAATGGCCCGGAGGAGAATAGCTGAGTCACCTATGGGGGTTGGGGAAGAAGTGTTCAACAGATGACAATGTAAGAAA